AATGGAACAGGAAGACGTCACGCTGTGTAATATATATGTACCCCCTGGTAGTAGTACAGGGTTCTTTAAGGAGATATTCAGTCTTATTGCCGCAGAAAGTGTTGGAACATGTATATGTGCAGGAGATTTCAATTAACTTCTCCATCCAAAATGGGATACAACTAGCCGAGACCGGAGGGGAACTAAATTAGAGAAACAAGTAAAAACAATGTTATCCGAGTTGGGGCTTATAGATATATGGAGATATTTACACAAACATGAACGCAAATTTACATTTTATTCAGCGAGACATGATATGTACTCGAGGATTGATTATTTCTTTACTTTTAGTAAAGATCTCCACAGAGTGAAGGATTGTATAATAGGACAGAGAGATTTATCTGATCATTCGGGATTAACTATGAAGATTGGGTTTAAAGCTAGCCCCAAAAACACCTTATGGAGGCTTAACACAGGTCTGTTAAATAATGACTCGTTTAAAAGAGAAATGGGACAGGAGTTACAAACATATTTATAACTCAATGACAATCGAACAGTTAATCCTACAATTTTATGGGATTTTAAGGCATACCTTAGGGGTAAAATTATTGCAAAATGTGCAGTCCTAAAGAAGGTGAGAGCAAAAAAGCTGTCAGATTTGCAGGAAAATTTGGAAAAATTGGAACAACTGCACACCGTTACAAGGTGCCCCCAGGTATTGGAGCAGTTGAGGCTGGTTAAACAGGAGATCCACAAAATTTTAAGTGAGGAAATTGAAAAAAAATTAAAATATAATAGACAACGGTGGTATGAGGCAGGACCGAAGCTGCTAGGCTATTATCATGGAGACTCAGGAGGCAACAACAGGAGAACACTTCCAGTTGAGGTTCCAGAAAAACAATTTAGGGATGGGATATGCATTGCTCAAGATTCATATGGGGTAATAAAAGGCCGAGAGTGAAATATGCAACAATGCAGCTGCCTGGTGAGCGGGGAGGCATGGCTCTACCGTGCTTTGAGGATTACTATCTGGCAGCCCAGATCAGACCTCTAGTGTGCTGGTGTAACTCTAAGTTTGAGGCAAAATGGAAGGACATTGAGCTTTCTTTGATGGATTTCCCAATACAGTCTGTTCTGGGGTCTCTTGAGAGTTTGCCACAGGCATATCAGGTGCAAAATTTATGTGTAAGTTTTTCCCTGAAAAAATGGGCAGATGTGATTAAAATTTTTGGTCTTAATAGGGAAATAGGGTTGCTGGGATGGCCAGCGTATCTCCCACGCTTCCTTCCAGCATTGTTAGACCATAAATTCAGGGAGTGGTCCAGGCATGGAATCACTGCAATCTGTAAGATAGTTAAGCATGGGGAGCTGATCAATTTTGAGGACATGTGTCAGATTTACGAGATCGGCAGGGAAGATTTTTATCGTTACCTACAGGTTCAGAGCTTCTTCTGGAAGGAAATTAGAATGCTTGATGCAGATGCTAGTGGGGTGATCCAAATATTTATGGATGCTTAGGGTGAGAACATTATAAGAGGTTGCGGTCAATTCTGCATTTTGGGGCAATGAGTCTTTTGCTGTGTTTGCTCCAATGGTCCATCATGGGGGCGTGCATTGGGTGCATTGTCCATGATAGAAAGAAGCTTTTTTAGCATTCTCCTCTCAGACACCTCCTCCAGGTTGTTAAATCTGACACCCAGGACAGAAACAGCATTTTTAATCAGTTTGTTCAGCCTGTTGACATCAGCTGTCTTCACCCCACTTCCCCAGCACACAGCTGCAAAAAACACAACACTCTCCAACACCGAGTGATAGAACTTGGTCAGCATTTTCCTATCAACATTGAAGGACCTGAGTTGACTCAGTAGAAAAGCCGGCACTGCCCTTTTTTGAAGATAGCATTGGTGTTCTTGGTCCAGTCCAGTTTACAGTCCAAGTGTACCCCCAGGTACCGGTAGTCCTCAACAATCTCCACATCAGCCCCTCTGATGGTGACAGGGTTAGAAGGAGGAGCCTGCTTCCTAAAGTCCATAATCAGTTCTTTTGTCTTTGTGATGTTAAGTTGTAGGTGGTTAAGCTCACACCACTTGACAAAGCTGTTCTCCACACTCCTGTACTCCTCCTCCTGTCCATCCCTGATAAAGCCCACAATGGCAGAGTCATCCGAGAATTTCTGCAGATGACATGACTGAGACTGGTACCTGAAGTCAGATGTGTAGAGGGTGAAGAGGAAGGGTGATAGCACCATCCCCTGCGGCGCCCCTGTGCTGCTCAGGATGTTATCTGAGCGGCAGCTCTTCAGTCGTACATACTGTGGTCGACTTGTTAAATAGTCTGTAATCCAACCTACCAGTGGGGCGTCCACTTGTGAGCTTATTCCCCAGCAGTGATGGTCTGATCATGTTAAAAGCACTAGAGAAGTCAAATAACATGACCCTCACAGTGCTCCCAACAATGTCTGGATGAGAATAAGCCTGGTCCAGCAGGTAGATGATGGCATCCTCCACACCGATACAAGGTTGATAATCAAACTGCAGGGGGTCCAGCCAGGGCTCCACGAGCAGACGCACATGTTTCAGGATGAGTCTCTCTAGCGTCTTCATGACATGTGAGGTCAGAGCCACAGGCCTGTAGTCACCGAGGGTCGACGGGTTGATCTTTTTAGGGACAGGAACCAGGTAGGACGTCTTGAGTGATGGGACTCTCTGCATTTCCAGACTCATGTTGAAGATGCGTTGTAGAACTCCAGACAGCTGGGAAGCACAGCACCTGAGGGCCTTGTCAATATTGTCCTGATGAGAATCACAAAGAACATCCCAGTCCGTTGACTCAAAGCATCCCTGCAGAGTCTCTTCCTACTCCCTTGTCCATGTTGTAATGATTTTTATGGCTGCAGGTTGTCTCTGAATGGCAGGTCTGTAAAGGGGCTGGAGGTAGACTGGGTTGTGATCAGCCCTGCCCAGAGGAGGGAGAGGGCTGGAGGTGTATGCCTCAGTAGCATTGGCATTAAACACGTCTAGTGTTTTATTGTCTCTTGTATTGCAGTTCACATACTGCTTGAATGTAGGTAGAACAGTGGAGAGGTTTGTGTGGTTAAAATCACCCATTATAGCCATAAACGCAGAGGGACTACGATTTAGTAGGTCCGCTGTCACAGAGCTGATGACATCATATGCCTGCGCCACATTGGCGTCAGGGATGATGTAAACAATGACGATAATGAGGGAAAACTCCCCCGGTAAATAATATGGTTGAAGACCGACTGCTAACAGTTCGACTTGTTTGTTACACACAGCCATCCTCACGATAACGTGACTGGGGGAACACCAGCAGTTGTTAACATAAAGACTGAATCCTCCTCCCCTATTCTTCTCGCTGCTGCCTGGGTCCCTGACTGCTCTCACACATGTAAATCTGTTTATATCCACCACCTGGTCCGGGATGTTTTTGTGCAGCCATGTCTCCGTGAAACATATAACACTGCATTCTCAGAAAACTTTCTCAGTCCTTGTTAGCGTTGCGATCTCTTCCATTTTATTAATCAGCGATCTGACATTGCAGGTCACTACTGATGGGAGAGCAGGACGGAATCTTTTCCTCCCCAGTCTTCATGTTTTCCCGACTCTGCAGCCGCAGTTGATCTTGATCAACGCGGAGGTCTCATGCTGAACACCGGCATGGCTATGCTGTCTTAGTCCCAGCAACAGGTCCCGGCTATAGACAAAGGGGCAGTGTGGCGTCATGGTCATTTCAGTAGTTTTACAAAGAGTTTCTAGTCCAAACATGGATAAAAATTTCTCGACAAAACAAAAAGTATAAACTAAATAAACTAACTAAGTAGACAAAAAGAAATAAATAAGAGGAAAAGAAAGAAAGGGGAAAGTAATTTTCAACTGTAGGGAGTATGCTAGACAGTCAGGTGTTCTGCATCGAAGAACACCTGAAAGCTTCCATGTGGGAACAGCGTTTACACTGGAATCTGCCTTTGACGGATTTTTTTTGGAGCAAATGTGACACTCAGCAGTATAACTGACAAACAAAACAAAACAATAACTACACAACACACTAACTACAGCCTCCAAACACGCTAAACGTCACTAATGTCTCACATATGAAAACTCTCTCTCTTTCTTTCGCTCGCCCGCTTTCCGTCGCGGGTGTTGCTCCTAAAAACTCCCCCTTCTCCCTAAACAACCAAATGTCACATGTTGCTATATCATTTTTGTGATTGGCTAACATGGTAAACTCTAACACCAATAGGGAAGGGGTGTTTTTTCTTTTTTCACTCACAAACGGAGAGTGTTTGCTAGCGCTGTCTGTAGAAAACACCGTTTTTACCATTCTTCCCACTGTAAACACCACTGTTTTTTTCAGAAAAAAATATCATGTGTATTTCTTATCATAACTCTGGTTTTACGTGGCCCATCGACACAATTCTAAAAGTGGTATGTAGTTTGAAGTCCCCACTTTTACCCCCAAGTTGAAATGGAGACTTTGACTCGATGCATTTTGTAGCTGTGTCATCTTAAATTGGTCATGTGATTTTGATGCGCCGGCGCGTCCGGCAACCCCAGAGGGTTAATTCGTGCAATTACTTAAGCGCCCCAGAAATTAAGTGATTTTGTTAAGAAAAGGCTTTAGTTCCTCACATTTTTATCTTTTTGTTCAACCTACTGAGCACAAGCTGAAAGTCTGAACTTCAACTACATCTCAGTTTTTTTTATTTAAAATTCCCTGTAGTAACCAAAATTTAAAAATGTTGTCTCTGTCAAAATATTTATGGACCTAACTGTAGTTTTAATTTTAATTAAAGTCTCAACATGATTTATGAGTTATCATTAATGTTCCTGCAAACACACTCCTTGGAGATAAATATCCATGTACTATCCGGGCTAGACTAGTGTGTCTGTCTTGCATGTGTGACTGTTCATGTCTCACCTGCTGGAAACAAACAGGAAGTGAGTGAAGGATACAGGAAATGTTTCCAGTTCTTCCTCCTCTATCAGACATTCTCTCCATACCTGAGAGTGTCCAGTGTCCAGCCTGGATCCTTCAATCCAGCCGACAGCAGCTTTATGCCTGAGTGTCCTGGATGATTGTATCTCAGGTCCAGCTCTCTCAAATGGGAGGGGTTGGAGCTCAGAGCTGAGGCCAGAGAAGTACAGCCTTCTTTTGTGATCAGACAGCCTGAAAGACTGCAGACACACACAACAACAATCCATATGTGAACAGTGATTTTCTCTTGGTCAGATACAATAACATCTATCCATTTCCAGCCATTAAATTTAATTTAACTTGTTTATAAGTGAAAATTCCCAACAGACAACAACAGTCATCTCAAATTGTTTAACAGTGTAAGTTAACACTCCACAATATTAGAGAGAGAGCCAACCATCAGACCAGCACTTGCTGATGGTGGAAAGGAAGAACTCCCTCCTGAAATGGCAAAGGCTCTGAAAGAACTGAAATAACTGAACAAGGAAAGAGTGGCTGCATACCTAGCAGGAAATCAGTGCGACTGCAGGCTGGATCTGAGCCACCAGAGAAACATTTGGCCCTATTGGCTGCTTCATCAGAGTCTGATTGTGAACAGGAGGAAGACTCAGCTGAGAACAGTATGGTGTATACAGAGCAGAGCCCACCATCAGTACAGAGGCCTGTCCATTAGAGTGCTGCTCCAAACATGTCACACTGCAGTGAAATGGAGCCCTGCTGATGCAGACGGTCTTCTGGGAAACTATTTTGTGCAACTTTTTTGTATTTACAGTTTTGAGGGATAAGCCTCTTAAATTTCTCTAACTAGAAATATATGTTAAAAAAAAAAAAGAAAAACGATTTAAAAAATATTTGTAGTTTATTGCACTTTCTTGCAATTTATGTAATTTCTATGCACTTAATGCATACATATTATTAAAATTTGGGCTATACTGATTGTATTGATGTATAGCAACTTGAAATGCTCCCAAAAATGGCACCACAGCATGTAAAAATATAATATAAGCTCTGGCGGACTTGGTTCTATGGTAGGTCTTAAAGGGTTAATAATGTATACATAAACAATGAGAGTCAAGATGGGTCAAATTCGATAATATTCGACACACCTGTAAAGTAGAAATATCAGTAAAATACACAGTGGGTAATATGACTGAATTATTAATAAAAAAGAACTTAATATAATTGATGACTAGCAAACTTTTGTGGCATTTGTCAACACCATTAGAAAAAGGGTCAACACCGTCAGACAAAAATCCTGATGGTGTTGACATCTGATGGTGCTGACAAAATACCCTACTTTCTCTCATAACACATGTTTTTCTGACAGAAGCCATCTTGTTTTTCATCAGATGCTTATGGCCTCTGCAATCTACCTAAATGAAACTCCTTTTACATAAAAATAATTAAATATTGCATTACATCAACTTTGGTGTTGACGCACTATGGTTGTGACACAGAGTTTTATCAGAAAGGTATACCATAAATGAAATAAAAACAAAAAAATTATGACAGCAGTGACCTCATGGCATATGTAACAAACAGGAACTGGTAAAAGGGTCCCCAGAGTGTAAGCTACCCACAATAATTCCTGATTTTTTTTTTTAACTTGATGGTGTTGACAAAAACTCTGAACACGATTTTAATCACTTAATATGTAAAAATAAATTTTCAATTGCATATTTTGATATTATATAAGATGTTGACTTAAAAACTTAGTGACGAGAACCATGATGTTTACTTTTACACTACTTTTAATTTTATTTTCTGTATTTTAATATTATCACACCTGCTTCTGGACAATGGATTTTTAAGGTACTGGTAATATATTGTACAATTTAAAATAAATATATAAGTAAAACAAAATTCAAAATCATACTTTTGTTGTATAAACATTGCCTTGGTTTGTTTTTTAGTCAGTTGGGTTAACACTTGTATTCATATTTTTAACCCCAAAATTGGGTTTTATCTGGCGGACAAATCACTGACACATGTTTTGAGCTAAGAGAGGATTCAATAAGATGTGGACGATGCAGGCAACAGTGCCCTGTGGTGAAGATTGAAGTGACAGTCTTGTTTTCCAGACAGTCATAGTAAATTTGATTATATTTTCAGGATGGAAATCTTCAAAAAATCTAATTATAATATATCCAACAGCTCTGTGAAAAACCTGCATAACATAGAATCATAGGAATCATGCTGGAAGATTTGAATTTTAGTCCTGCTGAAGTGACGACGTTTGACTCAGAGAGTCAGATACAAATCTTTTTTTGAGAAAATAGCTTTTAAAATATGATTGTAAAATTCAAGATTTTTCTTTGCAAGGAAGACACAAACAGTGAAGCAATAACACCAGTAACCCCCTAAATATCGAAATGTGATGTCATTAAAGACATAATAATTTCATTAATGCCCAATAGACACTAAAACATGTAATTTGGACATTTTATTCCCAAAGAAATCACATTTATATATTATGGGCACAAACGAGGCCTAAATCTCTAAATTAGCCAGTGAATTCCTTTTTTTTAAACAAACAAACACATGATTATGAAAAGTTTTACACTGTATTTCAGTGTCTAATAATCCACTCAAATGTAAATAAATGTTCACTTGACAGCTCTTTAAAGGTTACCTGCTTATGCAATAATATGAATCACATTTTAAATGAGCATCTGTGGAAAAGCTTGAATCCTGACCTGAGAGTTTCCACTGTACAATGTGACCTCTTTATTCCAGCAGAAAGAAGCTTCACTGCTGAATCCTGCAGGTCAGAATTACTCAGGTCGAGCTTTCTCAGATTAGAGGACTGAGAAGTGTGAACTGAGGACAGAGCTTCACAGCTTGTCTCTGAGAGGTTACAGCCACTCAGTCTGAAAAAAACAAAACAAGACAAATACTCATGTAAAGATTGTTAATATATTTCAGAATTGTATATCTCATCTTTTTTTTTTTAAACTTAACATACATCGTCATATGCATGAACTTGGATAAATTACTTAATTGTTTTTAAAAAAGTCATTTGCTTTAACCTCAGTGAATTCAGTTTACAGTTTAAACTTTGAAGTCCAGCAGACAGAAGCTTCACTTCTGAATCCTGCAGGTTTTTGATACTCAGGTCCAGCTCCCTCAGACAAGAGGATCGAGAGCTGAGAACTGAGGACAGAGCTTCACAGTTTTCCAATGAGAGTTCACAGACGTTGAGTCTGAAAATAAAAACATGAGACTGTTGTTAAAGTGGGATCAGGGTTCAATAACTAATCCTGTATTTTAAAGAATCCTCTTATCTTGAACTGAACAGGTTAGTAAAACTCTTTAACTTAGAAATGATTGAAAATGCTAAGAAACAACAATAAATGGATAAAGTTAACTTTTACTGGCTAAATTGTTGGATTGGTTAATTTTGTCAGCTGATAAAAACAAAAAAGCAAACAAACAAAGAAATAAACAAACCAAAAAAAATTGATCTGACCTCAGAATATTCAGTTTGGCGTGCGGACTCTCCACTGCATTCGACAGAAGCTTTACTGCTGAATGCTTCAGGCTGTTGGTACTTAGGTCCAGCTCTCTCAGACTGCAGGACTGGGAGCTGATGAGTGATAACAAACGTTCACAGCCTCTCTCTGACAGGTTACAACTGCTCAACCTAAAAAAAACAAACAAGCACAAAACCAAACAATATTTGTGACAATAATAATCAATATAATAAGTCTGTGTACAGTACAATGTATAATTAACTAAAAAATACATACAATTTAAATGCCGGAGAAGAAAAACACTTTAAATTTGTAGAAACACAATTATACCAACATATCTAAATGGAGTGAAGAGCAGGGAGTTTTAGTGACATTAGTTCAGAGTCTGCTGACATGGGCCTGTGGGTACTACAGTTACTAAAGTACTGTTGGTCACTTTATTAATTCTAATATCTGTGATTTGTATAAATCTAGTTATAAATAATTTATCACATGCTGGATTTGGTTGAGACTCATTTCATTTTCTGTCATTTTCTTTTTGATTTCATAAAACATCCTGAAGGGCAGCAGCCAGTCATCATAGGCTCCTCCACCATTTGGTTTAGAATTCTAAAAGAAGCCTGTAAAGCCTGTAGATTCCAATTAACCCCCACTTAGTTCATGTCTTTGGTCTGTGGGAGGAAGCTGGAGTACCCAGAGAGAACCCACGAAAACACGGGGAGACCAAGCAAACTCAACACAGAAAGAACTGAACCTGATAGTGAAATTGAATTCAGGACCTTCTTCCTGGGAGGCAACAGTTCTAACCACCGTAAAACTGTGCTGCCCTCCAACTGTCTTAGGGCGAGAGCCAGGGTACACCCTGGACAGGTCGCCAGTCTGTCATAGGGCTAACAACATTTTTTTTATGTTTTGAAACAAAACTAGGTTCCTGGAAATGAGGACACTGTTTGTTTGTTTTTTGGGTTTTTTTTTTTGTAGGAACATGATTTTAAGAATGAAGGTACAAAGACATATTTACTTACAGAGCTTTGTTGGAGGCTTTGACCACTGGCAGCAGCCTCAGAAGAGCCT